TAGTAATGAGGCAGCTTCAGTTTCTGAACTGGACCTGGTGAAGGTAAATTGATTCCACTGCTGTGAGAGCTAGCTTGAATCCAGTGACCGTTCTCTCAGTTCTTCTCAAGAGAGCATGTAAGTGGGTGAAAACGGGCTTTAGGACACCGCTGGATGACCATCCACTTAATGATGGACAAAGAAAACAGTGACACGTCTTCCAGACCTCCTGAACTGAAAGTAAGTACAGTGCGAGGAAATTTTCCTGTCTGATTTCCCTTTACTGTTGACCCCGTTAGTAAAAGGAGATTGTGCGACTTTATAAAAATAAAGGGAATAATAATGAAATAGTTTCTCTTCTTATGGTACTTAATGGATTTTACAAAGATGAGCTTGTTTTAAAGTGCCGTCCTTGGCAATTGATTCATAGCTGTTTTTCTAAAACTCCAGGGAAATTGTACTGATCTCTACACAAATTCCATTTTAAAATTTAATCAGTGCTAACTGAGACTGCCTATAATGTGTTCCTGCACTTAAAGATGCTTCTTTGTCTTTGTCCGTTCTGCACATACTGGTGTTCCTACGTGTTTCTCTCCTTTACTTCTTTGGAGGGAGTACTTGAAAGGAGCTTGAGACCACAGTGGACTGGACTCCTTCTACCATGGAATGATTTTCTCTTTAGAAACACCATCCGCACTCTTGCAAGCCACCACATTAAAAGAAGTCTGGTCTAGTTCAATTTCACCAGGAAGGACACAAGCGATATTTCACTCCAGGGGCTGACAAGGGTGTTTGGCAAAAAGAATGAGGGAGCTATGAATAATTCAGAGTGTCCTTGGCCACCTATTACCCCCATTAATTGGTAGGATTAAAGACTGGAAGACATGAATTTTGAAGGGAAGAGAGAGGAAGAGGGAGAGAGATGAAAGTACTCTTAAGGACCACACAAAAGAAACTATTTCTCTGGCATGGGTATTCTATATGGCTGCCTTTAAGAGAATGTGTGGTTAAAAGTTATTTCATCACTGGAGTTTAGTTACCCTGACATGTATAAATCTCTCCTTCAAAGAAGCTAAACTCTCACATACATTATTAAAGAATTCACAGCATCGAATGGCAGAGGGTGGAGGGGAAAATAAAAGAGCAAGAGGGAAAACAGTTAAATAATGCATTTTTTTCCTCCTACACGTAACACATTGCACATCCACACACTTAAACCCAACATTTTCTACTCTAAGGAGGCTTCTATTTTGTTCTTTGATGTCTTTTCAAATTATTCTTTCACTTACAATTGAGAAACTGAGTCACGTCTCCGTTCGGTGGCTAGCGACTGTAAAACAAGCACATTTGATTCTTATCCTTCAACCCTACACGAATCATTGCAGCACCTTAACTTTTTCTTCCTACCTGCCAGTCACGAAGCCAAAAATTTGAAATGCAGTTCATTTCTGTAGGGAACTCTTTTATACTCTTGTTTATAATCCTACCTCAGCCCAGAAGGAATTGACTGTGGGGGAAAAGCAATATAACAGAACGTTTGAAACCTACACACAGAGCTGTGTGTACACACGAATCTACCCACACAAAATCTTAACCTTAACCTCCTGACTCCCAGATACTCTACTCCATGACATTTAGACCTTCTGCCACAGCATCTGTTCAGCAGCATCAGAGAGTTGAGACAGGGCAGTTGAGGACAGGAACAATTTCACTAGGGTTCATATACAGTATTGTCTAGTTTTTCTCACTTTAATTGTAAAATTTGATGCAAATCAACTTATTAATCTTACATACAAAATTTAATTCCTTTCGTCTTTTCAACATCAAGGATATCCCAGGTTAGGTAGTACCATTTAAACTCTACACTACTTCTAATTGATAATATATTTCTTCTTCTTCATTTTTTAAAAAGATATCCAATATCTCAGTTCAGGTGGTCAGTGCCCAAGGGAAGCTGCCAGGCCGACGACCACCATTACCAGGGAGACGACCACCATTGCCAGGGAGACCGCCACGAAAACCCATTGGCAAACCCAAACCCAAACCCAAGAAGCAATCTAAGAAGAAAGCTCCCTTCTGGAATGTCCAAAATAAAATCATTCTCTTCACAGTATTTCTATTCGTCCTAGCAGTCATAGCCTGGACACTTCTGTGGCTCTATATCAGTAAGTTAAAATCTGTGCTCCTCTGGGGTGAGGGCTTGTGGTGGGGGTCCGGCACCAGCAATGCAGGCCAGACCTGACCCTGGGTGTTTCTGATGGGGTTTTCCTCTTTCTGAGATGGATATACCGTTTCTAAAACTGGTGTTGATGTTTTTAAGGAGAGAGAAAAACAAGAATTATCTCTTCCATGTCTTCTTTTACCACCACCACCCTCTTCTCATAGGAAAGTAGAAAGAGGAGATGGGGGCGGGATGGGAAGAGCTGAGGAAGAGGCTCCGGAGACTTTGACTGATTCAGAAATGTAACAGCTTAAAAAAAAGTGTTAGGCTGTTTCATTTCCTCATTCCACCCACCACCTGTCTCTAGGCAACCTTAAATTTCTAGCTTCCTGAACTCCATTTTATACACGCGTCTTTCTCTCCCCTGTTATTATGTTTTCGTCGATCTGATCGATCCTTTTGGACAGGTGTCATAACTTACCCCTTTCTTAGAGAGTACTTAGTCATGCATTTGTTGATTTGTATTGGAGTTCTCATCCTGTGCGTGTTATATTAGAATACATTTGTGCAAAATACACGTCCTGTGACAGAATCGGAAATATATATTTGATATCCGCTCCTCATTTCTGACACAGAGCTTCTAACACTGTAACTTCTGAGTGATAAAAACATCTTTTGTTATAATTTTTTGTTGTTGTTAATATTTGATCTTAGACTCTGGGTCCTAATACAGTGCTTTTAAAAGTGTTTTTTTGTATGTTGATGAACCGACTGGTGGGTAAATTTCCCTAGATAGCCCAAAGAATAAACCCTATGACTGAAGGGCTGTAACTTTGAGGAGGGGGCTGATTGAGCTCAATCAACACTAGCCAGTGACTTAGTCATACCTACATAATGGAACCTCTATAACAACCTTAACTGACGGTTCAGGAAACGTCCAGATTGGGAAGAATATCCAATTGCTGGGAGGGTGGGCTGCCCCAACTCCAGAGGGACAGAGCTCCCAAGCCAGGGACATTTCTGGACCTTGCCCTCTGTGCCTCCTCATCTGGCTGTTCATTTGTATCCTTTATAATAAACCAGTAACAGTCAGTGAAGTGTTTCCATGAGATCTGCGAGCCATTATAGCAAATCATTAAACCTGAGGGGGTCATGGAAACTCCCAGTCTATAACCAAGCTGGACAGCAGTGTGGGTAGCCTCGAGATTCACAACTTCTAACCGGCATCTGAAGTAAGGGGTTAAGAAGGGTCAGAATTGAGTTGAATCATTGGACACCCAGTTGTATTGCAGAAAACAGAAAAATGTCTTGGTGTGAGGGACAAAAAAATAAAAAAAAAACCCTACACATTTGATGTTGAAAGTGTTGTGAATAGAGAAACAGTTTTCCTAAATATATCCTCAAGGATATTAAAATCTGATTGGAAGGGATGAGTTATAGGGAGAGAATTAAGAATATTGTCTTGAAAAGTCCAGGTCACTTATATACATACAAATTGATCAGCTATCGTTTTCTTGGTACGATGTAGGGCATCAGGCATACCAAGATGCATCTCCTACCTTCGAAAAGCTCAGAGATGGCTATTCTATTTTAGAAAGCATCACAGTTCAGTGCTGGAGAGACAGCATAAGTTGATTTTTTCTCTTTCGATCAGGGATAGAGTGCAGAGCACGTTTCATGAACTGGTTCCTGAGAATTTATTTGACACATACTGAGCATGCCCACTTTGCATTAGGTGCTGTGGGAGGCATGGGGCACAGAGTGACAAGCAAGATATAATCTCTGTCTCAAGTTGCTTACAGACTGTTGGGGGAAATCAAGTCCATGGGCAATTAACACAAACACACATCACACCTAGCCCAGAACACACAAACTTATTTCCCATCATTTCTCTGCTGTACTTTGGCTGACATATTTGTATTGCTCTCCTATTTTTGTATAAAATTTTAGAACTTCCTTGTGCAGGAGTAGTTTGTTGGCTGTGTAAGAATCAGAGAAAGGCATTTCATAGGGAGAGACTGGTATGAACAAAGAGAAATTGGTAACAGTTAAAAATTGTTGAACAGGAAACAGGTGAGTTTTGACACATGAAATTTGGATACACAGGGTGGCCTTGAGAAATGAGGTTGCCAACTAATCAGGGACATTGTGGAGGGTCTTGCACAACTGGCTGAACTGAAAGGTTAGGTAAATGTAAGCTAATTTAATGCTGAATTGATCTCTCTCCCATTATTGTTTCTTAAATCCTGAGTACTTCTTGATGTGAGAAAGAATGAGTGTTTAAGGAGGAGTCATAGCTTTCACTCTAATTTTAGAGTCTGCAAGAGCCACGACAATAACAAAACCCAGGAAGCGCTTCCCTAGTAAAATCAAAAGAAAGAAGCAAAAACAACAGTCATTTTGTATGGGAGGGTTAGTAAGGCAAGGTTATCTGCCCCTCACTCTGGGCTACCCGTTCTCCCCCACAGCCTCACTACACTGCTTGAAGCTAACTGACCTTGGCTGGATCACAAAGGGGGATATCATTTATTTAGCATTTGTGCTGGGCCTTGTGCAAAAAGGGAATATTTCTCTCTCTCTCTCTCCCTTCCTCTCTTCCTTTCTTCCCTCCAGCATTTATTGAGCTACAAAGCTAAACCAGGCACTGACTACAGTAGGGGCTGAAGAAAATAAGATAAGTTAGTGTTCCTTCCCTCAGAGAGCTCAAAAGGTGAGACAGTGGGTTAAGTGCCACAGGAAAGAAATGTGCCTCCTGACCTTGCTCTTAAGTACTCGCCAGAGCAGGGAGAAGGAACAGAGCGTTCTAAGAGATGTAATTATTTGCTGCTGATGGAAGAGATATTGTCAACAATATTTAGAGCTTCATGGGCAATGAGCCAGTTAGGCAGGTATCACGAACTGCCTACCAGGGGTCCTCAAACTTTTAAAACAGGGGACCAGTTCACTGTCCCTTAGACCGTTGGAGGGCCAGACTGCAGGCCCCGGGACTAGTCGGCTGCTAAGCAGGACAGGCAGCGGAGGCGCAAACACCTGGCGGCGGATAAATGTCCTAGGCGGGCTGCATGTGGCCCGCGGGCCGTTTGAGGACGCCCGGAGATCATTTTAGGAGCCTAACGAGCCTGACACAGCTCAGACAGTGCTGCGTCGTCGCCACACAGATGGGAAAGCCTCCTAACCACCTTCTCTCCTATTTTGCAGTTAAGACAGAAAGCAAAGATGCTTTTTACTTCGCTGGGATGTTTCGTATCACCAACATTGAGTTTCTTCCTGAATATCGACAGAAAGAGTCCCGGGAATTTCTTTCAGTGGCACGGACCGTGCAGCAAGTGGTGAGGGAATGGGGAAAGCCTGGTTGAAAGTCTGGGGAAGGTGGAGTTGAGAGGGGTGAGTGGGTGGGGAGGGACCCCAGAGTCACCGATGAGCGGGGCGTAGGGAAGTAGAAGGCCGGGTGGATGAAACAAGCTGTCAGAGGGAAACGTGGAAATCGTGGCTGAAGACAGAGTTGCTCCCCCGCCCTCCCACCTGACATAAAAGGAAATGGCTTGCTCAGCTTCAGTTATTCTCATCTGTAAAACAAGGAAACTGGAACAAATGATCTTTTTTTTTTTTCCTCAAATGCCCTCCAGTTTCAAAATTACACTCATACCGGTTAATTTTGTGATCATAC